CACCCCGCGCAGCACCTTCGTGGCGCGAGGCGGCGGCGGCGGCTGCGGCGGCAGCGCGAGACCCGGCCCCGCAGCGGTGGCGGCGGCGGCGGCGCCCCCCCACCACCACCTCCCCGGCGCGCGCACCAAACACCACCGCCACCTGCGCGAGGCCCAGCGGGCACAGCGTCGACATTCGCACTTTCGCCACGGGCGCCACCGGGAGACCCACGGGGCCAAGGATAGCGGTTTCGCCTCGGCTGGCGCCCTATAAGGCTCGAGAGTTGAGGCCCAGGGAGCCTGGAGATTGGCCGCATCCCCCGGAGAGTGGGCTTCTCCAAGACTATCCAGCTGCTCTGGCCTAGGGTCGTTGACGAATCGGCGGCGACGAAAGCAGCGACTAATCCCTCAGGAAAAGGGGGCGGGGCGGAGGGGAGGAGGCCAGCCAGAGCTGGGGAGATGAGTGGTGCGTTGAACGGGCGCAGATTCGTCAGGCGGGCGGAGCAAATGGGTGGACGGGATGCGAGCTCCTTCGCTTCTCTTGCCGGCCCCTTTCTTGCGCAGCCAAAGGTCTAAGAGGCTGCAGATTCGCACAGGTCCTAGCCCCAGCTGTTGCCTCTCTTTACCCGCCTTGGTGGAGTCAAGACTATAATGCCTGGTTAGCCAAGCCCTGTTGGCAGAGTCGGCCACTCTTTATGGATCTTTCTTATTAGCACAGCTTGGGGGACTGCCCAGGGCAAATAAATACGGCCCAAAGCTTCTCTCCAAGTCCGATGAGAATTTTCGGCGAGTATACAGGCCTGAGTAATTCTGAGGAACCGACCTAGCGAATCTGCGAATTCTCCTGTGGGTGGAGCCAAGGCGTCGTGCGCAGAGGGCGTGGTCAGCGTACGGAGGCCGGCGTCGCGGGGGCGCTTCCTGTAGGACCCGTCGAAACGGGGTGGGCTGGGAGGGGCTCCCGGGAGGTGGAAAAATACAACCAACGGCGGTGACTCAGGCCGTTTCCGAGGCGCCGCACGTAATGCAGGGAGCGTTTTCCTCCCGTTATCTCCCTTGGGCCTCTAGCCGTTTAAGGTGCCCACTTGACAGATGGGGACACTGAAGCCTCAGAATGTGCCGCATTTCCCCCTATTCGGCCCACCATTAGTTATAAATCCGAGGCAGTCTTAAAGTTCTGGGGTGAACTTGGTGGGGCCTGAAGACCCTTGAATGGGTCCTGTAAAAATTAAACTAGGTTTAACAGGAACTAGGGTGGGCTGGTATCAGAGATGGGGGGGGGGCGGAGATACCTATGCTTACGCGGTCCCGCCGCTCGAGGGCAGCACCAGCCCAAATTTAACACCCAGACCTGGGGATTAAGCTCACCCTGATGCTGGTCACCCTTTATCTCTGTTTTGGACTCAGGGTGTCCTGTCTCTAGGTAATGGCATTCCCAGGAGGCCCCTCTGCCTGAGCTGAGGGTGCCCTAAGACCCAGACATCTCCATACATCTCTTGCTGTATGACCTTGGGCAAGTCATTGACCTCTCAAAGCTTCAGAGTTTTCCCCTGAAATGGATATTAATTCCTGCCACGCAGGGCTATGATAGGTATCAGAACAGAACAGGAAAAGCCCTAGAAGCAAATTCATTTTAAGTAATAGGAAAAGAGCAAAGGGAGACTTGTTCGAGGTCTCACACCATAAGAATGGGAGAGAGAGGATTGGGACCCTTCAAATGTTTGAGGAAAATGAGGCTGGAAAAATTAATTTACATGGAAGCATGGATGAAATCATATCCCTTTCTCTCGTCCGGTTGAAAGGTACGGCCTCCTTTTCTCAAATCAGAGATTCCCTATGTGAGGGCAAAAGTAGTCCAAGTTTTCACTGACTGGCTCTGTGTGTGGCTCTGGACAAGATCCTCAGCTCTCTTGGGCCTCAGCTTCCTTACCTCTGAAATGGAAACGAGAAAGCCCTCTCGAGGTGGATGTGAGGATTCAATGAGATAACCTACTGAAAGCCCCTAGTAGGCAGCAGTCACTCGAGAAAGAAACTTATACTCAATCCTCAATGAAAGAGAGAGACCCTGGGCTCCAGAACAAGAGTGCAAAAACCCCTTGTCTTGGAATAACTGTCTCCACCTGCAGAAGCTACTGGCGCCTATATCAGCACCAAGAAGGGGTCATACCTGGAACCCATTCTCCCACAACCCTGCCCCACCCCAGGGACACTTGCCTCTGCTGGGCTCTTAGGAACAAGTCACCAGATCCTAGGAGGCCTCCCCTTCACCCCATTCACAGCCACAGAGACATTGTGAAATACAATTTATTATACAAAACAAGGTGCATCAAAAATTCAGTGTCAGGGGGCCAGCCAAGAGGCACGCTGGTTAGGAGTTGGCTTGGGACGCTGGCTCTGAGCAGCAGGGCCGCGGTTCAGATCCCACATGAGGGCCAGTGATGCTGCGCCCTCTACAGCTAAGATAGTGAACAACAGCTCAACCTGGAGCTGGACTGCTGTGAGTTGCCAGCGATGGCATAGGCTGCAGTGGGGCTGCAGTGGGCTGCCATGAGCTACCGTGAGTGGCTGGCAGCCAGCGTGAGTGGCTGGCAGCTGGCTTGAACTGCCGTGAGCCGCTGTAAGCGGCCATCCAGTGACCGGCGACTGATTGCCTCACCCAGGAAGAGCGCAATGATAATGCCAACATGGGCCAGTGAAGCGACATCCTCCACAACTAAACTGAAGAACAAAAGGACAGCAACTTGTCTGTTCTCCCTCCCCGATTCCCCAACGCTGTTCCCCTCCCCCAATAAAATCTTAAAAAAAAAATATTTCAGTGTCAGAACAGCTCTATATAACAAGGGCTAGGGAGGGACTGGACGTTCTCCTTTAAAACCTCACCCCGACCCTTGATAGGCAGTCAGGCTGGGCTCACAGGCCCTTAGTCTCCAAGGACACCCCTCCCACCCCCAACCCTGGCACAGAAGAGTGAGAACCAGTTATACAAGCATCAAGTGTGAGTCTGGGGAAGTTGTACAGGAACTTGAACCTCCAAAAATAGGGAGGCTCCTCGTAGGAGAGGCTGGACCTATGCCAGGGCAGAAACGCCCAAACCCCTCTACAACAACTACAGCAAAGAGTGTGGAACTCATCAAAATCTGGGGATGGGGAAAAACTTCCCAACAAATAGTAACCATAAAGTAGATTCTACAAAAATAAAGCAAGGGTTGGCTGCCTTCTGGGCAGCTGAGAGGGTGTGTAACCTGACCTCTACATCCTGTATAGGGGCAAGTGGCTAAGGATCAGCACCAAAGGTCTGACCAGGGTCTTCCTGCCTCCCCTCCACCTACCCCAGGAGCCTGGACTGAGGACCATACACTTCCTCCCGTGCTCCTCCCAGCCAGTGTAGGGCAGAACTTAGAAAACCCAGGGGGCAGGCTTATAGGGAGAATACCTTGGAATGTGGGAGCTGCCCCAAGACCCCACCCACAGGACACCACCCCAGGAATCTGGTCTCTACCTGAGAGTGGCCTCAGGAAGTGGCTCCAGGTGGGGTCAGGGAAGCAGTGTTTGCAGAGGTGGCCGACACCAGCCTCACACAGCTGGCCTCACACAGCCTGCAGCTCTCCCTGCAGGCGACTCAGCTCCTCCAACTCCTGCGTGTGGCGGTCTGTCTTGTGTGCCACCAGAGAGCGGTAGAAATGCAGAGCAAAAGCTACAAACACGAGCCCGACCGGTACCATGATTGCTGTGGAGGCCATGGCTGCTTGCCAGCCTGGTCCATGGGCCTCCCCACCACCACCACCACCACCACCACCACAGGCTTCCCGGGGTGGGCAGGCCTCAGAAGGCTCAGCCTGCGGTGGGGCTACAGGAGCAGAGGAGGGCTTGGAAGCCGGACTAAGGGAGGTGGCCACTGGTGGCCGAGTCCCAGGCATGTGGGAGGCCGGTACCACCGGGGCTGGCGTGCTCAAGGGGGCCCCAATGGGCACAAATTTGACCCAGCCAACCAGGACAACTTCCGCAAGGAAGAGGAAGGTGCCCAAGGCAGTGGAGAAGCCCCAGGCCAGCTCCACGTAGCGGTGGAGTCGCTGGTGTGGCGACTGGTGGACCGAGTTGAGGTTGTGGATGTTGCTAACGGCTTCAATGTGGGGCAGCAAACACGTGGAGACCATGAGTGCAAAGAGGTGCACCGCCACCAGCACAGTGGTGCAGGCACTGAAGGCCACCAGCAGGCCTGGTGGGTACTGGTAGTTGCTCTCCAGCTGTACCTCCACCATGGCCACCTGTGGGGACGAGAGAGGACGGACTGAGTGCTCATAACCTTCTCCCCGTCACGGGACATGCCTGCTGGCGCACATCCCTAACGTAGCCTTAGGACCTAAAACAATGCTCAGCAGAAACAAGGCTCCCAGTCTTTGAGTGTGTGAACGGGCAGCCTGGGCACAGCTCTGGCCTATTCTGGGCCTTGGTTTCCCCCCCCCTGAATATCAAGAGGGCTGGGGACATGTTGCTGACACTCTTTACCTTGTTATAACACAGGGATTAAAAAGCACAGGTTCTGGAGCTAGGCTGCCTGGATTCCTCCTCAGGTCTATGAGCTGTGTTGTCTCGGGCAAGTGACTTAGTTCCTTCTGTGCATCCCTTTCCTCATCTGGAAAATGGGAATTAATAGCACCACCTGCCTTACAGGGTTGTTGTGCAAATCGAATGATAGTATATATGTCGAGTGACCAGAATAGTGCAAGACACGACTCAGCACAGTGTTTCTGTGATTCTTAGAGCCCGCACTTAAGTCCAAGGCCAGAGTTTGCAAACCGGCACACCATGAACTTAAGCGAGTTTGTACACGTTTTTCTTGGCTCATGCAGTGTGTTTCTTAAAGAACTAAGTTGCCAACTTTTAAAACTCAAGAAATTTCATATAAATATCCCTATTTCCAAATCCTCCAGAAAATTCGACAGATCTGGTTACACCAGGCCCCTATTCCTGCGTGGCCACTATCGGCTCAAGTTGAGTCACGGCTGCTGCCTTGGGACAGGTCATGGACACCGCCAACTCAGTATCTATATTACCTGCCGGGCCTTTGCAAACATTTGATGATCCTGTTCTAGACTTGTATAAATTTGGGCTCTAGAACCACACTGCCTAAGTTCAAATTCTGCCACTTACTTGCTGCAGGACCCTGGGCAGGTGTCTTAATATCTCTGATCCTCAGTTTTCTCATCTGTAAAATGGCCATAGGAATGGTACCTACTTCATACAATAATAGAAAGATGATAAACACAAAAGACCTAAGTGCCTGGTATTCAGTGACAGTTCGATACTATTTGTATGTTATTCTAACCTAGGCCACCAGAATTCCAGTGTCTGGATCTTGGCCCACGCCTTGTTCTTGCAGGATCAATTAGATTGCTCTGGGGCTGAAGGGAAGGAGGAAGGTGCAGAGCCTGGAGAGTGGCGGTAGGAAGACAAGGCTGAATATTGTGGGAAATTGGGCCATGACGGGTGTTAGTAGGTGCTTTCCACAGACTGGGACCTGGGCCAGGCCCAGTCCTGGTTTCTCCCATAGCCTGACCCAGCCGTGCTGTCCCCTGGCAGGACTGGAGCCCATCCTGCCCCTAGAATGTACTCATCTGGCCTCTTGATCCTGCAGAGAAGATCCTGGCCCCTAAGCTGGGACCCCAGCAGCAGGCCAGACTGTCACCATGGGAACAGGTGGGACCACAGAGTTTGGGGGCGGAGGACCTCCCCTTAGCTAGGTCCACGGGACTGCTTCCTTCCCTTTGCGGTCTGTACAGGTGAAGTGAGCCAACTCCCTATCCCTAGATGACTCCACATCAGGAAGGGTGGGCTTGCCTGTGGACCCTGGGCCGCCATATAGAAAATCATGGACCGAGGATGACCGTTAGGGGTAGAGACTTTCCCTCTCGTCATTTCAGATATAGAGGCTGTGGCACAGAGAGGGACAGGGACGAAGCAAATCACCTAGTTCTATGACCCTTCTATCCTTCTCTCCATTTGAGCCTAGTCCTATGGGGACCTCCCCCTACCCCACCAGCCACTCACTCCTCCTTCCTGTCACCCTGGGGCCTCCCTCAGCACCATTTTCTAGGAGGCCTCCACTGGGCCCGTTAGCTGATATCATCTTTCCCACACCCCCAGTGTATCAGCTTCCTAATCAACCTTTTTCACAGGCACTCTCTCTTCGCAAAGCTTTCCTAGGCTATGCTGAGCACCCTTTGCACCTGCTGGGGGCCAGCCCTCCTTGGGATGGGCTCACCTTGTAGGGTGACCTCTCCATCCAGTTTACTCTCTCTGGCTCCGCCCCTCTCCTGCCCTGTTTCTACAGCCCCCACCCAGCTCAGATTTGCTTCTGAACTCTTGTGGGGGTTCTGGTAAGCACTCCTGCCTGGACTATGCTTTCGGACTTCTGTGACCCATCCTTGAGCACATATACGCCTTGGTGATGTGTGTCCCTGGTGACACCTTTGGTACTTGTTTGTCCTCCCTGTGGCCCAGCTCATGCCAGGGGTGTTCACACACACACACACACACACACACACTAGAAAGGGACTTGTGCCGCCCATTGGGACCTTGTTTGCTCCCCTCTGTCCTTCCCGTGGGTACCCGATTACTGTGCCCACGACCCCAGCGCCCCCAAGTGCCACACCCCGCCCATTGCACGCCTTCCCTCCCCTCACCATGGCGAAGCCCGAGAGCAGGGCAGAAGTGCGGCTGGAGGCTTTGAGCTTGGCCCGGCTGAGGTAGAGGCGGCGCCAGCTGAGTGCCCGCAGCGAGTGTTGACTGGCTCCCATGAGGTCCAAGTAGCCGCGGTGCACGAACTCTCCGTACGTGGCCGATCCCGGGGGGCTCTCGGCCTCCGGGTTCAGCGGGGCCTGTTCGCCCGCGTCCCCCTCGCCGCCCTTCATCCCGGGGGCTTCAGCACCAGACTGTGACGAGCGGTCACGGAGGGGCCGAGTCGACTCGGAGTCTCCAGGAGGGCCGGGCCGGGGGGAGGCCCCATCCCCCAGTGGGGCAAGCAGAGATGCGCAGGCGGACGCCCAGAAAGAGGCCCCGGGCAAAGGAGGAAGAGCTGGCGTCTGCGGGGAGCCCTAGGGGCCGAAACCGGACAGCAGAGGCCGAAACAGGAACTGGGGCGGAGGCGGAGCCGGGTGGCCACATGATGGGGTGGAGTCGGGGGTGGGGGGATCTGTTGGCAGAGATCCCGAGGGACCCCGCTACCTCAGTGGACCTAGAATGTCATCCGGAAGCCCAGCCCCAGCCGGTGACCGGAGTTTCCGGGTCCTGGACCACTCCAGGCACACTTGACCATCCAGCCTCTACCTAAGTCGTGAACTCGGGGAAGGCACGAATGTCTGTGGGGACCTCGTGGGGGAGGGGGGGGCCTGCATGCTCAGTTCCGGGAAGCCGAGTTAATGCCAGTCTCCCAGGTCCATCCAAAGAGCCCCTCCTCCGAGAGCCCCAAAGGGTGACCGTTATGGCCACCCCCTCCCTCGACGCCGTAGACACTCGAACTCGGCGCACCCAGCTGGAAGATTTTGAGTTTTATAGCAAACCTTATTGTACAGATCCGGGGCCCAGCCCGGCTGGGTTCCCCATTTGTCCCCCGCCGGGCTGCCTCCTCTCCCTCCCTCAAGCGGCCCCATCCTCAAGCCTTTCGCGATCCCCGGGACCCCCTCCCCTCGGCCTTTGGTCCGCCCAGTCCCTCCCCCCACCCGCGCACCTCCCTGTTACCTGAGGTATGTGGATAGATTTCCCCCCTCCCCTACATGGTAGAACCCAGCTCCCACCCTGGCTTGGGCTGAGGGACGGGCCCTGGCTTCCCAAACCCCGCCCCATACCAGAGCAAGGGGCAGGGGGGAGCCAAGAGTGTTACTAAGTTCCCATGGCAACCACGAGGGGCCATTTCCAGCCTTAGCACTGGCTTTGGGACGTGTCCATTGGCTGCTATTTCCATGGCAACCAGGAGTGGCAGTTCCCTGGGCAAATGGGATACAAGTTTCCACGATGATGAAAGAGTAGGAAGAGCCAAGTTGGGGGAGTCCCATCATCCCCATCGTTGGGCTGGCACCCCACCCCACCCCACCTCAGGCCAGGAGGGGTGGAGCTGCTCAATACAGTAAAGCGAGAGAGCCTGGGAGTGGTGCAGTCCAAATGGGGTGTCCACCAGTCCAGTCTCAGTCCAAGCTGGTCCTGGCCCCTCACACTCCGGCTCCCCCAGGTCCAAGGTTCCCCAGGTTCAAGTAACACTTCAGTACAGGTGAATGTTCAAGTATTGAGCGGGGAGGCAGGTAGGGGGCTGGGGTACCCCTCACCACTCCCCTGGGCCACGCTGAACCAGCGGGTAGGCCAGCAGGCCCCCACTCCTAGCAATAGCTGCCATTGTCAGTGACGTTCAAGGAGTCAGGGTTGGGGGAAGGAACTGAAATCTGGGGAGAGATTAAGGAGAGGGGTGACCCCGAGGGGGTACTACTGCCCCCATACCTGCTCTTGCCCCCCCCCCACCCCTCTCAGCCCTGGTTTTCCCCGTTTCCCCCAAGTACCCCCACTTCTGACACCTGGATCCCCAATTGCTCCTCTGGTTTCCCTTTTTGGCCCCCCCCACCCCCCAACTCCCAAGTATCTGGTCTGTTCCCTGCACCCCTGGTGGTCTGCTTTCTGCTCCCCTCCCCCAGCCCATTCTCCACCTCCCCCAGCCCCTGGCTCCCAGCATCCGGTGTGCAGATATCCTCCCCCATTCTCCCTCCCTCAAACTTGCACCTTAGCCCCCTCCTACCATCCCTTTGGCTCAGCACCCCCAGTACCTCTGGCCCACTCCCCCCAGGAAATGGACAAGGAAGCAGGTGGACGGGGGAGGGGATGGAAAGGACAGACCCCCAGAAATATCAGTGCAGGGGGTAGAGAGTAGGGAGGCTGGCTCGAGTCCCTGGGCAGGAATCCCAAGTCATGAGGTGGGTAACCTGGCCCCTGGCAGGGGTGAAACGAAGGCCCGAGGTCCAGGCTCCGGAAAAGTCCTGGGGGAGGGTGGGGGGCACCCAACTAGCTGTCCTTGAGAAGCAGCTTCTCCTCTGGGCAGCGGAAGGGGCCGGGGGGCCCGGCGGCTGCCAACCGGGCACAAGCTTCAGGTGAGAGTTGGCGGCAGGAGCGCAGATCTAGACGGCGAAGGCGCGGGCAGCGGCGGAACAGCGGAAGGCAGTGGTCAGTGAGGCGGTGGCAACCTGGGGATGGGGCAATGGTAGCCAACACCAGGAAAGTTAGGGGGTAGGCACTGGTCACGGGAACCAAGAGGCTAGCAGGACAGACAGACAGGGGAAGCATGCTTACCAGCAAGATTGAGATGCACCAGGGTCTCTCGGAGGGGGGAGGTGGGGGCTGTGAGGAGATGGACGCTGGGGTCCCCGACATGGGCGCAGTGGCTGAGGTCCAGGGCGCTCAACTGGGGCGCATGGCGCAGCAGGAGCCGCAGGGAGGCATCAGTCAGCTCCAGGCCTGCCAGGCGCAGCTCTGCTACCCCTTGCAGCCGTCCACGGCTCTCCGTTTGCCCTGGGCAAGCAGGTCAGAGATCAGCACTGCCCGCCGCTTCCATCCCTGTGCCTGGGCATGTAGACCAGCTATGTCCCCACACTCATCCCTCACCACCCCTAAACCTGCTCCCTCTATACAAGGAGCCTTGACTGGCCCTCTGCCTGGCTTGCTCTTCCCCCAAACACCCCCACAACCTGACCTTGTCTCATCTGTCCAAAGCTCACATTGCCTCCTCCTTGAGGCTTGCCGTGATTACTCCACGTGCACCTGTAACACTCCAGCCACTCCTAACCCTTCCCTGTATTTCCCCCCTTTTCCCACCAGCTGACATGTATCTTTTTCTCTCACACTCGAAGGTCAGTTCCATGAAGGCAAGAACTTTTCTGTCTTATTCTTGCTCTGTCCCCAGCAACTGGGATACAGGTGCTTCAGGACACAGTCACTCATCCAACCAATGACACCCCGGGCTGCTCTCCCACTGCCCTCTCCTGCCATGATGAGTAACATCACCAACTGGATCCCCTTCTTTCCATTCCCCGGTACCACTCTTCCTTCAGCTCCTGCCCTTGCCTCCTCACTCACTCAAGTCTCTCCTTTCCTTCCTGGAATCCAAAGAGAGCTGTTCTCTAGCACAAGTGGGACTTCTCTGCTAAAACCTCTGAGGGCACCTCAGAGAACTCCAATCTCCTTGGTGGAGCCTCTCAGTTCCTAGACCTTATCCTTGTCTCAGCTCTTAATTCCTCTCCCTCGCCCCCAACACCTGGGCTGATCTCCACTGGTGACCCTGGCCTGAGAGACTCTGCCTGTGGCCACCTGTGCTGTCCTCTGCCTGGCCAGTGTCCCCAGCTGTGAGGTCTGTGCTCGAGGTCTCCTCGTCCCCCATCTCCAGAGTAGAAGAGCTCATGCAACTCACCTCTGCACCCAAACTACATGGTCTGCTTCCCCTTATTCTGTCAATGTTTCTGCATTAGTTTTTTTTTTCTTTTTTTAAACTCAATGCCTATGGTGCACTAGTAGCCACTGAGTACTCACTGTGGGCCAGACACAGGCTCAGTGGCTGCCTGCCCCCAGGCCAGGGGCTAGCAAACCACATCTGTGGCAGGCTAGTGACAATGGACTGCTGGCCCTGCCCCCAGAGTTGAGGTCTAATGTGGGGCCTCAGGAGTCTGTTTTTCTAATGAATTCTCCAGGGATGGTGATGCTGCTGGTCCAGAGACCACGCTTAAGGAACCACACAGTCCTGGGAGAACACTGAGGCTCAAATCATTAAGTAATCTGCCCAAGATGACTATGGAGTGACAGAGCCAGGACAGCAGGCCTGGTGACCAAGTTCAAACCTTCACCACAATACCATCTGCCTCCCAGACACCAGCCTAGCCCCTGGATGAACTAGCTTAGATGCCACCAACTCATGAATCCCGCCCACACAAGTGTTTTAGGGAGTCTGCGGAGTGCTAACAATTTTCTTAGTGACTAATGCTACAAAAAGGACATTTTTATAAACAAATACAGACATTGAACTTTGTAGGATCTGGCATCCCTGGGCACCCCTTTCACCTGACCATGACCGACTGGGGCTGGGTCGCTAGGTGCCACTCCCTAATGTCCTGCACCAAGCCCACCACTCATTACCTGCCAGGCCGCCCCTATAGGTACCTGACCCGGTAAGCTCTGAATTCCACCCCTTGCTTTTTCCCTTTGAGGAGCTCAGAGCCTGGGAATGTCTACAGATGCCCTCAGCCTTGGGCCACAGCTAAAAGCCATTAGAAGCAAGGGAAAGAGGTCCTTTCTGGCTTGGGTGGGAAAAAGGGGGCATCAGTGAGATGTCACTGACGTGGCAGCATTTAAGCTGGGCTTTCATAGGACATGACCGTGTGGAGAGGTGGCAGAATAGTGAGTCTGGCAGAGAGTAGTAGGGGCAGGAGCAAGGAAGCAGCACTCTCAGTTTTGCTCCAGGAAGGCCGCACGCATCAAGGAGCCGAGATAGGAAAGGCAGGCCGAGTCTCCGCACACACATCAGACCTCAGGCGCCTGGAGGGCTCCTGTTTGCAAGCTCCTGCTCACAGGCTTCGACTGAAGGGGACTCAGGCAAGAGATGGGTCCGTCTGCCAGCCTCACAGGACCCACTGTTCCCAATGCCCGCCCTTACCCTACCCCGTATTCCTGGCTCAGGCCAGTTCCAGGAAAAGTGGGCAATGGGTGAGTGGGGTGCTCTGGCCTCACTCTGCCTGGTGCCCTGCAGCAGTCACTAGAAAAATGCAAAGAATCCTAGTTGCTTCTCTAATCCTCTTCCAAGGCTGCTGTGAAGGGGGTGGGTGGGAAGAAGAGAACCATAAAAGAAAGCTGTGAAAGCAAGGGACTCACAGAGCTTAAGAGCTCAGTGAGAGGAAACAGATTTTAATGAAATCACTTCACAGCTGTATGTGATATTCTGGAGGGGTCTGCTTTCACAGCTGAAGGAGGACTCTGATCATGGAGGGCTTCTAGGAGGAAGTGGCATTTACACTGAGGCCTGAAGGATGAGTAGGTGTTAATTAGATGGAGGAAGATAGGGTACTCTAGGCAAAGAAGAGCGGGCAAAGGCCCCGGGGCTGAAGGGGACTCGGCCAGGAGGCTGAGGTGGCTCAAATGCAGTGATGGCAGAGGTCAGTGGGGACCAGACCACGCCAGGCCTCAGCAACTATGGCACAACATTGGTCTTTATCCAGAGAGCAATGGAAGTTCCAAGCACAGGTTAGATTTGTCCTTCTGGAAGGTTCCCCTGGCTTCCGTGTGGAGAACAGTCTGGGGGGGTGGGGGGAGGGGGGCAGAGAGCATGCAGCCACCTCCTGGTTGGACAAGGAGCCAGAGACCTCAGGCTCCCCACCCCATACTGTCATGTGACCCCAAGTGACCAGGCCTCTGCCCCCGACCAACCTCGGCTCCCAGCATCTCCCTCAGCCAATACGGGCCTCCAGCCCCACAAAACCTCTTACTTTGCTTCACACTCCCTAGAAAAACCATGTTCCTTCAGGACAAAGTTCAAATAGCTCCTCCTAAGGAGGGCTTCTCTCACTGTCCCAACCCCTCACTGTCTTTACCACATGACTCCATGACTTCCTAGATCTGAGTCTCTCTCCTGCATGAGGGGTTCCACCAGAGGGGCTGGTTCAGTTTGAGGTCCCCAAGGGCCCCACACAGGCCTACGTCCCAAATATCCGCTCAACAATAAAAACTAATTTTACCCGGCAGGGTCCCTGGGCCTGACTCCCAGTGAAGAGGTGGCTGGTCTGACTGGGGAGGTGACATCACACCTCCAAGCAACCTGCCAAGTCAACTGGCTCCATCTTTCTGCTCTTTTCAGGAAAACCCTTATCCTTTCCCTGTAGGGAGTCTAGGGGTCAAATCTATTGTTCAGCTGTACTTTTACTGGGTCTACACATGAACTTTAAAATAATCTGAATTAATTTCCATCATTTAAAAACCAAGAGAGATCACAGAAAACTCCCCATTTCTGGCTCCTCGTGACAAACAGAACTGACTGGCCACACAGGCCCCACACTCTTCCTGCATCATCACTGCTCCCCTTGGGGATGCTCTTCAGCAGAGCCCATTGCGCTTGCGACTTCACTGACATCCCTGGCTCCCCCCAGAAGCCTGCGCCATCTGCCTGTCCTGTACTGAGCTTCACCCTGTAATTCCCTCGCCCTGGAGGGAGGGGCTGCGTCCTTATGGAGTTCCCTCTGCTCCCATCACAGGGCCCAGCACAGCACAGGGGAATGAGTGACTGAACCAGGGCAAGCAGGGCCTTCCTATGCAAACTCAAGTGTTCCTACTGCTCTTTCTTCAAACCCTTTAACACCCAACATGAGTTGGAAGAGACCTCGGAGGCCTCAGAGCCCCACCTGGCCCAACCTGCTCTACGGATGAGCCAAGAGGGCACACCTGGTCTGGTGTCTGGTGGCGGCAGCAGCAGCTCACGGAGCTGGGAGTCTTTCACATCCTCGACCCAGCGCAGGTCCAGGAGCCGCAGAGCAGGCAGTGGGGCTGAGCCCAGGGCCGAGACAGAGAGCCAGGAGCAGCCGGACAGCACCAGCTCCTGCAGGCCTGAGGGGTCAGAGAGTGGGTGCTGGGAGGGCTCTGCCCCGCACCTACCCTTCCTCTCTATCCTGCCCCACCCTCCCGCCATACCTTGCAGTCGGTTCAGAAGCCACATGAGCTGCTTCTTGGAGACACCTGTCCAGCTGAGGTCCAGGGCTCGGGGCTGGCGTCGAACCACACCGCTCAGCATGGGCGGGGTCAGTGACTTCCGCCGGCTCAAGTCCATTCGGGGCCACAGACGCTTGTCATAGCACCTGCCGGCCACAAGGGGGAGACAGCCCTCAGGGAGTCCACAAACCTCCCCCCATTCAGTGGTTCCCGTTTTCTCCTGGTCCATACAAAGAGCGAGAGAGGTGGGGCGCTGCAGGAAGGGCTAGATCCCAGGCCGAGCCATGAGTTTAGGGCTCAAGCCCGTCACTAACGGGATGCGTCACTAACGGGATGCGAGCCCCTGGGGAAGTCCCTTCCTTTCCCTGAGCCTCAGAGGCCGTTTAGAAAATGAAGATGGGGATCCACACGTGGCCTGCCTCACGTGGCTACTGTGAGGTCACACGAGGTCGGTCCAGTTTGCAGGCCTTACAGCTTATACAGCATTCTGCCACAGTCACGCATGCTGCACTTATGTAACGCTGATGTAAGGGGTCTGCCAGCATCCACCCCCTCAGCCTGTTCCTGTGGGCTCGTGGGCATGTCCCACCTCTGCCCTCTGCCCCATGACACACACGCCCCTTCCTGATAACCCCTGGCCCCTAGGGCTGGCCTTACAGCACCCCCTCCCTCCCCCTCTACTGACTACTGTGTCCCCCCAAGTGGAATGTAGGCTCCACAACAGCAGCGCGGCTTCCCCCTGTATCCCCGGTGCCAGCACTGTGCTAGGCGCGCAGTAGGTCATCTGCTGCACACTTGCTGAATGAACGGTGCCAAGCTTCCACTGGGCAACCCTACAATACAGCTCCTTTATAGCTTTCCATTCACTCACTCAGTCGATGTTTATGGAGGACCTGGCATGGAAACTACAAGGACAAATCAGGCCTGAACAAAATTAAATTAAGGTTTCCTGACCCCAGCAGTCCGAGAGCCTTGACTAGTCTGACATGCAGTGAACTGCAAGGGCTTCTCAAACCCTTCCCCCCACCTCTCCCAAGGTTATCTATGAAAACTGCGGTACTCTGAGGTACCCGGAAGTTCCAAGACTCCATTTGAAAATTCTCCTTAACATAGCAGCCTCGAAGGCATGCCAGGAGATTCCCACTTGCAGGGTGAACTATGTCAGAAGCAGCAGGAGTAGGAGGGGGCAAGGAAGCTGTATCTTACCTCTCTCCCACACCCCAATTCTGAAGCCCTGGGCTGGAGCAGTGATCCCCAAACTCTAGTCACTGGTTACCCCCTTATCCGCAGACCATGAACTTATCTTTAAATTGATCCCTTCTGCGCCCTTAAAACCAGTATTGTTTCACATAAATATGTGAACCTTAGAAATAAACAATGAAAACACACCAGGGTTATGAAATTCTAGTCAGGAGCCTTCAAGCTACCACCTAAACACTGTTTCTGTTAAACAGGGATATAAGTATTAGAAAGGTGTTAAAGATACAACAGCACACAATGGAGAGGTTTTCTCTGCAAAATTAATAAAAGGATCAAGCCATGTTTTCATACCACTTAAGACTGCTTGGCATACTCCAGAGCCCCTGGGTGACATTTCAGGGAATGCTGGAGGCAGCCAGGAAGGCTTCAAACTGCACAACCCCACCCCTCTGCCCCACCTGCTGCCTCCTATCATTCCCTCTGGCCTGGTGTTCTAGCTTCTCCCCCTCCTGACTCCATTCCCTCGGCCAATAAACATTTGCAAATCTCTCCAACTCTAAAAAGGAAAAGAAACAAACAAACCCACCCTCAATGCAGCTTCTGCCCCAGGGTCGTGCCCCTTTCTCTTTCTGCTCAGTAAATCCTGTTTGTCCAGAACCTCTCTCTGCCCGCTCTGACCCAGTCTTGAGTCTGACCACCTTGAAGCAACTACTGTACCTTCCATGGCTAGAAGAGAACCCTTCCCCCTGGGGGCTCACACAGGCCCTCAGCTGTGTTTCTGTGCCATGTCCCACAAGAGCCAAGCCAACCACCTGCCCGCCTATAGACATACAATGCTATCTGGTGCCAACACATCTGGGTACATGTGGTGCTTCTGCTGGAAATGCCAACCAACCCAGATCCTTCAAGGTTCAGGTCCAGCACCTCTTCTTCCAGGAAGTCTCCCCGGATTTTTCTTGGCTGGGGCTAACTGGTCCCTTTGCCCTTGTATGACCAGGACACTGGGTTGAAACCTCAGACTGGCAGCCAACAGTCCCTGAGGGCCCTACTGAGACTGGGCACAGAGCAGTCAGAACAAGGGGGAGACACAGGCGGTAACTGAGGCGACAAGAGACATGGAAGAGTCAGTGAGGACTGGGGCAGGGGAACCCCCCAGAGAGACAATGCCTGATGAAACGTGAAGGCAGGCAGCAGTTATTCGGGTGAGGAGAGGGGAATAAGAGGGCATAACACTCCAGATGGGGAAGAGCTAATATGCAGGTCCGGGACCAGGAGACAGCTCTGAGAATCTCAAGCGGAAGGAACACATGCAATGCATCATCTAGTAATAATGAGGATGATGGTGGTGGCCACAGCCCCAGTAACTAGTGTTTATCTAGTGTGTGTTGTGTGCCAGGTCCTGTTCTAAGCATTAAGCATTTCACCTCCCAATGGTCCTACTAGGCAAATACTATTATCACCTCCTTTTAGAGGTAAGGAGAATGAGGCCCAGAGAGGTTAAGACACTTGTTTGAGGTCCCACTGCTACCAGATGGGAGCAGACGGCTTGAACCAAGCGGGTCTAGACCAAGAGCCTGAGCTCTGAGTCGGGCAGAGGCAATGGTGAGACCACAGAGGAGGCCTAGGGCAGGGGTTCCATGGCGAGGAAGGCTGGACTGCCAGGTTGTCATGTCAGAGCCCAGAGGTGAAGCATGAGCCTGTGGGGACCTAAGTCCCCGCACCTCAGCTCTGCTTTCAGGGGCCTTAGGCAAGTCACTTGCCCTCTCTGGGTCTCTATTCGCCAAACCACGAAAGGGAGTAAATGCAGCACGTACTTCAAACATTTGCTGCAAAGAGAAAGGGAGCTCATGCAAGGAAGCGTTTAGGGCTGTCACGTTCCAGCATCCGGCAGGACATTTGTGGGGGTGACAGGGCGTCATGGGTGGGCTATTTCTACGCTGGGAGGTGACACCAAGGCAAGAAACAGGAATAACTAAGGAGGCCAGGGCGTGCCACCATCCAGGTGGTCAGGGCTCGATGTCCAAGTCCCCCAATCCACTCGCTTTGTCCTCGACTCCAGCCTGCCCCTGACCGAGCTCACTCCCTGCTAAGCTCACCTCCAAAATCCTACATCCTTGTCCTAAACCTCCCTCTGGCAGAGGTCCTCTGGGGTCACAGAGGTGGACCAGCCCAAACTGCCACCTGAGAGGAGCTCACAGCTGCCTGGGCTCCGGCCAAAGCCAGTGCTTCCCTCCAGTTCTCTGGGCTCCGAGGCCACCTCTGCCCTCTAATCTGTCCACGTCCAAGCCTCTACTCCCACCCCCAGCTGGCCTTGACTCTTTGCCCACCCTCTCCCTCTCCCTCGCCCCCCACCCCCCGCCTCCCGCCCATGTCCTCCAAAGTCCCTGCGATCCCACAACTCCTCCACTCTCCCCCACCTTCCCTCCCTTCCCTCGCTCTTCATAGATCGCTTCGCCTCCCAGCTCCAAGACAAGATAGAAGCCACCAGACAGGAAAGCCTACAGTTCCTGCTCTCCCACCTGCAAACTTCTCTCCAGCACAACCCTTACTGCCTCTTTCTACACACCATTGTAATTTCCTCACTGTCATTCATTCACTCACTCATTCATTCATTCAACAAGTATTATTTTAGTACCTCCTGGAGGCCACATGCTATCTTACAAACTAGGGCTACAGCAGTGAAAACACACATCAGGTCCCTGCCCTTAAGCTGCTGTCCTGGACCCCACGTGACCCGGCTTTGGTCCCTCCACCCTATCGGGCACAGCCAAATACTCCAAGGCCTCCTTGTAGCAAAATCCAACTGCCGCTTCTGGTCCTTAATCTCTCAGAACCTTCTGCCCACACCCAACAAACACTGTTTCTTACTCACTCCTTCCTCAATCTCTGCCCCGTCGGACATACCTCCACCAAGTCCAAGTCTCTGGCTGCTTGTTCTCTACCTCACCAATATCGACATTCTATCTTCTGCCCTCTTCCCTGAAACTGATGCCTATAGGCTGAAAACTCCCAAATATGGATCCTTCCCTCAGTAGATCTCTTCGCCTTCTAGTTCCAAGAAAAGACAGAAGCCACCAGACAGAAAAGCCTGTATCTTGCTGCTCTGCCACCTGTTTGTTCACTGCTATGTCCCGAGTTTCTGAACGTGACTCTTTCTTGAGCATCAGAGCCGTCCACCCAGCTGTTTTCCTGCCAGCTCCCAACTGGCCCACAGGCCTTGGGACCAAACACATAGAATCCCCCTGGGATTCACTCCCCCCTGGAACCCACGTCTCTTCCTCCAGCATTCCCGGACGCGGGGAATGGCACCACTGCCCATCCAGGCCTGTGGGCCAGAAACTCAGCTGAGTCACCCAGCTGCCCCATAGCCATTAGTCACAAACACAAGCTATTCTGCTTCTTAAACGGTTCTCAACAGAGTCCCTCCTCTCCACTCTACTGCCCCTGCTTCCTTCCGCCCCCAGGCCTGATAGCCTCCTGACAGCCCCGTTTTCCACTGGGCGCCACCCCAGGCCTCTGCTCTGCCCTACCCTCACCTTCCCAAAAGCAACCATTTTACTGAGTGTTTTGTAGCCTGCAGGTACTATGCTAAGTGATTTGCAAGGAGCATCTCATTCAATCCCCACAAGATATTAATATGAACCCCCGACTACAGAGGAGAAAACTGAGGCCTTGACAGCCAGCCGTCCACCCATCACCACACATCCAGAAAGTGCCCGAGTCACAGGTGATGACACTCATGAGGACCAGACTCCAGGGCCCAAGCTGGGAACCCCTGTGCAGTCCGGCTTCTCCCCACTTATGGTCACAACTTTCTCCTTGAGGCAGAAACAGAGTCCTCTCCAGTTCTGGGTCCCACGTGCCAAGCCCAGCGAACATTCCCTCAGCTACTGCATGAGGCAGGGGTCATGACCCCAGCAACAGCTCTAACGATTTGCTTCTATACTGCAGGTTGACTGGGAGCTCATTGAGGACACAGATCCGTATTCCGAGGATGGAACAATCTGTGCTTCCCGTAATTATTCATAACTGAGAGAATAATCGTGATGACAGTTAAGGCACTGAGTCGTTTTTGCTTCCCAGGTACTGTCCTCACAAAACCACTCTGAAGTAACTTCGCTGGTCCTCTTGTTTTAACAGCTGAAGAAAATGAGGCACAGAGAAGGTAGGAACCTAGTGCAAGGGTACACAGTTCACCAGAGAAGAGTAAGGCTGAGCCACAGGGAATTCACATCCGGAGCCCGTGCTCCCATCTGAGCTCTACGTGCGGCCCCCACGCAGACCAGCAGGCATCCACCAGTACCACTCAGCACCCACAGGAAAAAGACGCGAGTCTCATGCAACCACTACTTTGCATGACTTTAGCTGCCCATCCCTCATTCCCTCACGGGGGTGCTATCATGAGGAACAGATCAGCGACCATTTGCAAAGTGGCCAGCAGGATGTGTGGTCCACGTGAGTGCCTGGGAAAGAGCCTGAATTGACTTATTTAATAGAATAATCCTTGAGCACCTACACTGCCCCTTGTCCCATGCTGGGAACATGAAGGTGAAACAGATGCAGTATCTGATCGGAACATGAAAATGAATGGACGAATGAAAGCCTGACAATGTGCAGAAGGCCCCCAGAATCTCCGAAGGGAGCAGAGCTGCGTGAGTTTGACTGGGGGAGAGAGGTGTTGGGGGGCAGGATCAAAGGGTGGGGGGCGGGCAGGCTTGGGAGGATGACCGAAATTTCTGAACAAAAGAGGTTTAGGAAGCAGTGGGAGACGGGGGACAACAGGCAGGGGGATTGGTGGCACTGGGACATGAAGTTACAAGTGGGGCCGGGAAGCCCAAGAGTGGCCGCCTCTGAGGGGGCGGGTCCACTGCAGCAGAGCTTTCCTCTGTGTACGTGGAACCTGTGAGGCTGTCCTTGGAAGGAGTATGAAAACCAATCAGGGGATGCACATACAACACTTAGCACTATGCCTGGCCCACACTAAACGTTCACAAACGATACTTATGATTAAGATGGAAAGATTCTGGGGCAGGAGGGCAGGGCTCGCATGCCTGGTCCCAGTGTTTCCACATGACCTTGACCTCAGCTTCATCTGTAAAATGGAATGCCTCACGGAGTGGCTGTGAGGGTTACATGGGATCAAACATGGACGGGAGCCCATGAACAGTGAACACAGAAGCAGCGTGTTGTAACACGTACACACTACAGGAGCCCTGGCTACACAAGAACAGTGACCAGAGAGGGTCAGGTACCAGCTGTGGGTCACACAGCAGGTGAGGAGGGTCCACAGTAAGCCCCACTCACCAGCGGCTCCAGGTCCGGCAGACTCGCATGCAGATGCACAGCTCCCGGGGCCCAAGGTGCTGGAAGACGCGGAGCCAGGCGGCTCGGGGCAGGGGGTGGTCGGATCCGGCGGCCAAAGGCAGCGTGTCGGGCTCAGGGCTTCGAGGTGGGGGCCGTACCACATGCCGCTCCAGCTGTGGGGGCCGGGGCGGTGGGGCGGGTCCCAGGGGCCAACTGAGGAGGGGCCCCCCACTGCCAGGGCGTACAGCCCGCCGCCCCCCACGGTTCTCCTTCTCGCCTGAGCTGCCCCGGGTTGGCCGTCGCCCATTCCGGGCCTCGCCGGGGGCCTCATCCTCACTCAGCGATGTGCCTGATGAGTCGGAGTCTGAGTCCGAGTCTGAGGAGGACGAGGAGGTATCAGGCACGCGCTCCAGCAGCTGGCACATCCGCTTGAAACGCTCTAGCTTCTCCCTCTGTGGTGACGGGGATGGCACTGCGGGGCCCTCGGCAGAGGCCAGAGGTGGCTTTGGTTTCTGCAGGGAGACAGAGACTGTTCCAGGGCCTGACACAGTCTGCCCCACTCCCCCCGGCCCCTGAGGAGTCACAAGGATGAACAACCCAAGGGACAGTCATGGGTTCCTGCCCTGGCTCTGCTCCTGAGTGGGCGTCAGCCAAGCCATGCCCCTCTCTGAACTTGTTTCCTTATCTGTCACACGAAAGTGCTAATTCAAAGGATTAAGAGCCTTATGGGTTCCAATAGCTTATGAATTACCAAAAGCATTGAGCTAAGGAAAACAGCAAGAGAGAGTACTGGTTTGGCTGCCACCTGTTTGTGACCTTGGGAAACCCCTATCTCATCCCCTACATGGTGGGATCCTGGACTAGACGATTCCGAGGTGTCTCCTATTCAGCAACATGAGAATAACAAAGCTCGCCCAGCTCCAGGCAGAGCATCCCACACACAGATGCCCCCATCCTCACAGTAGTCGAATGAAGGGGCAACCTGGTCACTCTTTTTAGACATGAGGCAACTGAGGCTCAGAGAGATGCAGCGTCTACAGTTACACATTGACAAATGGCGGATGCAGGGTTTGAATGCCATCAGGCAGACCCTGCATTTAGCGAGTCCCTGCAAAGTGACATCTGAGTTCTAGCTTTGCTGTGGGACTTTAGGCAAGTCTTGTAACCTCTCTGGGCCTCATTTTCCTTGGATCTAGGTAAATTTTATAACTTACGAAGTTCACCTACTTTCATTACACAGTTCTCTGGGATAAGCGGGTAAGGAAGCAAAGGAGAAGCATCCCCATTTCAAAGATGAAAAACAACCTGAGGCTCAGAGCAGCTGCCACATTGCTGAGACCACATAGTACGTCAGCAGGCAAAGATTTAAACTCAGTTCTTTACCCTTTACGGTTTGGAAAGATGAGGGTTAGATAATACCTCAAGGGTTCTTGGAAAGTTAGGGGCTCCTGTGGCATGGCCCCAACCCACTCTTCCCCCTCCATTCTTCCCAGCGGTCCAGATGCCCATGGTAGCCACGTGGGGCAGGGGCAGGACAAGGTGAGCAGGAAAGGACAGGTCTGTATCCAGGGTGGAGGGCGGGGCAAGGAAAGGTGGGAGGGAGAGGGAGGAGGTCCCCGGCACACCTCCCAGTTCTCGGGAGGGAGCCCAGGGTAGCAGGACGAGAAAGCCTGGCTCGGATTCAGAACCCTGGGGGGCAGAAGGCCTGGGCCGCCTGGGTCCGATCCTCGGAGGAGGCAGGCGTCTCCACCCACCTTCTTCAGGTGCCTCTCACGGCCTCCTTTCACCTACCAGGGCAAGAGGTAGACACGGGGAAAGGGAGAGACCCTATGAGCCACTCACTGTCCACAAAACTGAGATCCATGCCCTCCTTAGACTACAATTCCCAGAAGCCCCCGTCTCAAGGAGAATGCTGAGCATGCTCGTCTTCTAACCAGTGTCCTGGCTCACCGAGCATGCTCTCATCTCCTCTTTCTTCCCCCCTCAGGCCCGTCCAGCCCCTCCCCTTTGTGCTATGGCAGCTTTGAGCATGCTCTTCCCTGCTCCCTAAAGTACCTGGGCTCCCAAATCTTCCCTGTCCAGTGCCAGGTGCCCCTTACCTGTATCTCTCCCCCATTCCCCCACACATACCTCTTGAACTACATCTCCCAACACCCCCTGGGGGCTCCACTGAGCACAGCCTCTCAGGCCTACACTCCCAGAAAGGGAACAGAACTACTGCTCCCAGAGTCCCTTGAGCTGGACCCAGTGAGCATGCTCCCTGGCTCACCTTTTTCCTTGGAGTGGGGGGCTCATTCCCTGCCTCCCTCTCCTTTCTTTTGGGGAGCCCAGGCACGTCCTCTGGCGGGGGCCCAGCAGGCAGGAGGCCCTTGCGCCTGGGCGGGGGTGGGGGAAGCGGCAGCTCCTCTGTCAGCTTCCACCCGCTCCCCAGGCTGGCGCCCTCCTCTCCGTTGTCGGCCCTGCGCCGGCCTTGTCCCTCACCTGAGTCCTGAGGACACGGAAGCTGCAGTGAGACTCTGCACGGCCCCCAGCCCACTGCGCCCCAAGCCCAGCACCCCGACAGCCCCTGACCCGACCTTGTTGGTCCGGCCTTCCTGGGTGCAGCGAGGGCACTCCCAGCAGTTAGGGATTTCTGCGTTGATGACACCCTCAGCCTTCCCCATCTGTGGGCAGAGAGGGCAGGGAGTGGATGCAGGGTGCCAGCAAACCCAGAGGCAGCGTTCCCCACCTCTGTGCACCCTGACAACTTGCCCCAGGCCAGACAGCAGGGCCCCGGGGCCATCACCTTTAGGCAGCCGGGGTGGACGATCTCATTGCAGATTGTACACTCCATGAGGCTCAAACCAAACTTCTCTTCCTCTCCTTCCACTGTGTCCTCCTTCCCAGCCTCCCCACACAAGAGGCACACGGCTGTGTGTGGGAGCACAGGCTGTTGGGGGAGAGGGGGCATCAGGGACCCCGAAAGCAAACCACAGGGACAAGACCCTTCCTTCCGGGAACCCTGGCCAGCTGCTGAATGGTTTAGAGCTGATGGGCCAAGCTGGGTCAGATCCTGAATCACTACTTTTGTGGCAATGTGACCTTAAGCAACTGAGTTAATCTTAGGTCTCTGTGTCTCCATCTGTAAAATGGGGCGAGGAATTTTCCCATGCAGGGCTGTTGTGAGGATGAGATAATGCACACGAGGCACTCGATACAGTTTATCCTCATTGCTGTAAAGGTTCCAGTAGGATCCAGGGCCTGTGTGACCCTGAAACTGTGGCTTTGGGAGGGACAGAGACCACGGGCAAATATGACAGTAATACTCAGAGGCCTGGAAGGGACAGAGTAGCAGCCTGCAATGAGTCTGCGTTTGCTCAATGGGCAGCCCAAGGGTTGCTCTGGACCCCACAATGAACCCGGTTTTAGCAAGACCCCTAGGTACACTAAAGGGTGTTCCTGGAGAAAAGAAAACAGGCTTCAGATGATGTGACTTTGGGGAGGATAGTGGTGACACTGAGTCATACCAGGGATGCTGAACACTGTGACACAGGCTCTAGGAAGAAGCAAGTAAGGGGAAGAAAGAACAGGAAAGTAGGCAAGGGTTGGGGGACAAAGGAAGAAAAGAGAGGGGCTCTAGGGTGAACAGACCAAGCAGGAAAGAGTGACTGGAGGGAAAAGGAGGTAACGGTGTGAGGAAGGGGACACAGGATACAAAGGCTGCTCTCTGGAGCCCTAGGAAGTCAGAGGGTGCGGTCGGCTGGAAAGAAACCCACGTCCCCGGATACCTACTGTATGCTGAATCGTGCAGGGGGCACATTCATATCCCTGCTACTGTTTACATCTTACAGAGAAGATTCCTTGAGATCCAGTGACTTGCTCAAGGTCACATAAAGGGTAAGCCTGGCCTCAAATCCAAAGCTACTCTGGCAGGTGAGGGAGAGGCCAGAAAAGGCTAAGGCTGATTAACAGGGGCCAGCTCTGGGGGTGTGCCCCTGTGCACACATACCTCTAGGGAGGAGGAGGAGAGGGGCCAGGCTCTCTATGGGTCTGAGCCTCTGAAAGTTGGGAAAAGTGTGAAGGTGGGAACTGGGTTGGATTCTTCTGTGTGCCCAGACACTGACCCCAGCTTGGAGCTGAGGACATGGGCCTGGTGGACATGTGAACAAGCCGGTGAATGAGTAAACAAGCAGCAATCTACCGCAGACCCTAGGAAGCAGCCACCAGCCACCCCAGAAAGGCGCCCAGTGTCCCACGGTGGGGGGAACTCACGGCTGTGCACTGCCGGAGCAGGCATGACTGCTTCATGCGCCCGGGCCCCCCGAACTTCTTCATGTCTCGGCAGAAGTGGCAGTCCCCGCACTCAGTTCGCACACAGGCCCGGCAGCGGCGGCAGCGGGTTCGGCGTCGGCGCGCTCCGGCCCCCGGTCCCCGGCTGCTCGACGACATTGGGGGCGTCAGCAACGCCGAGGGCTGTGGGTGAGTGGTGACAGGGTCAGGTGGGCCAACTGGGGCCGACTGGGAAAACCCCTGGCAGCTCCCCCATTTTTAGGCAGCCAGAGTTCACCCTCTGTACCCAGGGAGACAAGGAACGGGGAGGTGGCCCCTCCTGAAGGGGGTGGGGGAACCACTCTCTCTACCCAAGGCCTTTCTCTGGCTCCAGTTCACCTGGCTCCTCTGAGAGCCTGAGAACTGGCCTCCTGACCTCACTCCTCTAACGTCCTTAGCGCCTCCTTGACAAGCCCAGGGACGATAAAGGAACACTGGCTTCTCCCGCTGATATCCCCACATCCAAGCTCCTTGGAAAGCCAGGGGCTCCTTGTCTGTGCACTTACATCAGGAGGTCCCCCCAACTCTTCCTGTTATCCAACTGTACCACACTCCATGCTCTCCCCAACCTGAACTTCCCGATTTACCTCCAAGACACCCACAGATTCCTGGGTGGAAGCTCCAGACCTTTCTTCCCCCTCCTTTCTCTCTCACACACAACTACCACCAAAAATCTGGATATCATCACCAGATCCAGTGGGATCTTTGCCCCCCCCATCCCTAAAGATTCGCTCTGCTGCCCAACTTCCAGGGTTCTGAGACACCCCCCGCCATGGTGCTTCAGGGACCCTCTTTGGGCTCCAGATCTCCATTCCTCTGCTCCCCACAGAGCTCCCTCTGCTCTGAGACACCCTCCTCTTGGATCTCTCAGGTCCATCTGGCAATCTCCCAGATTCCCTGGGCTTCTAGAATCCAGCCTGACATCTTTAAAGAACTCAGGATGGGCTCCTCCGTGTGCACCCCCCCCCCCAGCTTCCTAGGCTGTTTTCCATTCCTAATTGTCTAGAATCCCTTGAGCTCCCCTTCCCATGGAAACCAGTTCCTCCAAGATCCCATTCGGACTCCGCAGGCCTGGAGGATCTCTCCATGGCCTGAGTCTTACCCCAGCTTCCCCCTTTCCATGGACTTCCAGACCCATCCATGGGGGTGGGGAAGGGGCCTTCCAGCGCTCCAGGGGAGGGGCCTGGAGGGCGGCGACTGCAGGCAGGGATGGGGGTCTGCAAGGGGAAGCAGGGTCTAGAAAGGAAGGCCAGTTCCCCAGGATTGAGAGGTAACAGGATGGACTGGAGATGAGGAGTTGGGAGCAAAGAGAGGGTGAGGCTGGGGGCGGGGAAGGTGGAGAGCCAGGCTGAGGATGAATGGGAGTGGGAGCTGCCTAGGTCTGGGGGTGAGGAGGAGCCGCATGAACCCACCTCACACGTGTCCCGGGAGCCATCTCTCCCTTCTCGGCAGCTCCCGGCGGGTCGGCGGCCATCGGCGGCGGGGGGGCCGGGCGGCGCGGGGCGCGGAACGCTCTGAACGCAGGGGTCCACGGCCCCCCGAGGGCGCTCGGCCCCTCCCTCCGGCGGAGGCCGGGACGGCAGCGAGTGGAGATGAGGATTGCCGGGGGCGAGGCCCTCCCACGGGCTGCGGCGCGGCCCTTCCAGGGGGAGGTCCTGCTCTGGGGGGCTCAGTCCCTCAGCCCCCCCCTGGCCAACGGGGGCTCCTCGGGCGCAGTGTGCTCAGCTTCTGCCCGGGCCCCACTCAGTCCCGGGTCTAAGTCCCAGCTCCCCTCCCCCCACCCCGCCTCACCTCTCCCCAGCGCCCCGACCCTTTAACTGGCCTCTACCCGACCCCCACTACCCAGGGGTCCAGGACCAGGCCTGGGCCCCCCCACCGTTTCCGGGGTTCAAGCCCCGCCCACCGCCGGTTCCCGGGGAGGGGGGGGTCTCTGTAACCTGCCCCCCTCCCCTGGGCCTGCCTCTGGGCTGCGACCCCTGCTCTACGGCTACACGGCGAGTGGAGGGGGGGGGTGTGAAGGAATCAGCTCGGGCCCCGCCCCCCCAGCCTGCGCGTGTCCCCGCCTTCTCCCCCCTCCCCCCAGCGCGCGACCCTCCAGAGATAGGGATTTAAATAAAATTTAAATAAACCCCCTTCCTCAAGCAGAAGGATGGAAGGAAAGGATGGAGGGAGGCAGGGGGTGGGGGGATTGGGGTGCCTCAGCCCCCTTGGTCCCCCGGCCCCGCGCTGCTTCGGGCCGGGGCCCTGGCCGCCTCTCTCATCCTTCCTTAGCTCCTTCCTCCTTCCTCCTGTCTTCCTCCTCCCCTCCCTCCTCCTTCCCTCCTCCTCCTCCTCTTAACTCCCTCCTTCTCCCAGAGGAACCCCGCCCCCTGCCCTCTTCTTCTCCCACCACTCCACTTTCAGGACGAACACGCGCAGGGCACGACGGAAGTCGTAGTCCCGCGGGCACTGCTGCCACCGTGGGAACACTGGGACGCTGGGGCCTACGGGGACTACAAACAAGATGGCGGAGGGCATGCCACGCTGAGAGCCGAGGATGCCGGGAGTTAGAGTCCGGTTGCCCCGAGGCTCCCCGTTGCAGAGCATACAGAAGGAGCGGGAAGGATGACTACAAACAAGATGGCCTTCTCCCCTGACCCGACCTCCTTCCCAGGCACTCACACGCCCTCCTGTCCACAACTCTCCGCGCGTGTGTGGTACCTGACGGGAGTCGCAGTCCATCTGCTGCCATCCCGCTGCCATTTCTACTCGTCAGGAACAATGGAAAGGTGAAAAGGAACGAGGACTACAAGCAAGATGGTGGATGAGGGGCGTACACCTGACTCATAGTCGATCTTATGAGGTGCGATGGGAATAGTAGTTTTTCTAGCCTTTTAGCGTTCCTTACGAATGACGGAACCGGGAGCTTAAGGAGACTACCATAAAGATGACGGGGAGACTATCTAGCCTCTCCCCGTCCCCTCATTTTACCACGTTGGGCACCTCGCCCGCCTCTAATCTCGAAATCCCACCCCTTCCGGGAGCCGCAGAGCCTGACGGGAGTTGCAGTCTTCCCGACTCCTATTATTTTCGCTCGAGACAATGGAAAGGAAAAGGGGCGGGGACTACCAGCAAAGATGGCGGTCGAAGGAGAGGGGAGACGGCGACCTGGGATTTGTAGTCCAGGCGCTAAGGCTACTCCCTGCGGCAACACCTGCTGGGGGCCGTAGTCCCTTCTCTAGCTTCTAAAGAGAAAGGAAGTGGGCTGTTGAACTGTGCATCACCGTGGACACGCCAAATTGCGAGCCGTCGGAAACCAAGAGTCCTTCCTCCTCTCCGTCACCCCTTTTCAACGACCTGCCGGGAAATGTAGTCCCACGCCTTCACTTGCTACTGGAGGGGGAAATTTTATGTCACCAGTGGGGATCAGTGCGGGTGAGGAGAAAGAAGTCTGGGCGACCCAGGAATATATAATGTCCCCGTGTGGCGAGGACTTAATAGTTCAGGGCTCGGCTCTTAAAGAAAAGCAGCAGTAATCAATATTGTCGCCAGGGAGGCGTGGTTCTGCCGAAAGTATCGTCACACTGTTGTGCCTTGGCAAGCGTGTACACCTCACACGCGTTGCCTGTTCTCCTAAACCTTAGGGAGTCAGTGTCTTCCGAGTCGTGAGGGTCCCATGGAAAAGGCTCTGGAGTCGTACAAAATCCCTGCCCCTCTGGAAGTCCCCAAACCTCGGTTTTCCCATCTAAAAAATGGGGATAATGACACCTACCTCGAAGCAGGGCTAGGAGTGTTAAGACAGTGTTCGCGAAAGTGCCCAGCTCAAGGCCTGAATCAGGGCACCAGTTGGTTGATCCTTTTTCGAGGTTCCTGCCAGCCCAGTTGTTCTGGGACCCCAGGAATCCATCGTGCTGGAAGGAGTTCGTTCCTGTGAAAAGCAAACTGGTGGGCAGGCTCTCTCAATTTGAGCCGCACCCGAGTCTCTCCCACCTCTCACCCTTTGCTCATTTTGGTCCTGAGCGTCCACTACCCGGAGCTGCTCCCAGGGGGCGCCCATTTCCCACTTGACTGAGTTAACTACTGCCACCTGAAGTGGCTCATCTCCAGCGCGCCTTGGAGGCATCGCCCTAGACACCTGAGCTCCCAAAGCAAATGGGACTGCTTTCCACCTCTGTGCCTTCTTTTTTTTTTTTTTTTAAAGATTTTATTGGGGAATTGGGAGAGGGGAACAGCACTGGGGAAGGGGAACAGACAAGTTGCTGCCCTTTTGTTCTTCAGTCTAGTTGAGGACGTTGCTTCACTGGCCCATGTTGGTATTATCATTGCGCTCTTCCCGGGTGAGGCAGATCAGTCGCCAGCCTCTGGACGGCCGCTCACGGTGGCTTTTGGCAGCTCACACCAGCTGCCGGCTGCTCACGTTGGCTGCCGGGCCACACACAGTAGCTTATGGCAGCCCACTGCAGCAGGGGCTGCAGCCTACACCGTCGCCGGCAACTCATAGCAGCCCAGCTCCAGGTCGAGCTGTTGTTCACCATCTTGGCTGTAGAGGACAGTGTCACTTGCCCTCATGTGGGATCCGAATTGGGGCCCTGCTGCTCAGAGCTGGCGTCCCAAGCCAGCTCTTAACCAACGCGCCACTTGGCCGGCCCTCTGTGCCTTCTTACCTCCCTTCCGATATTCCTTCTCTGCCTGGAAAACTGCTCACTTTTGACCCCACGGCTTCCTTCTCCTGTGTTTGAAAGGAGAGGGTTAGAGGACCCTGCTAAAGATGTGGGGTGTTTTTTTCTGTCAGAGGACGTGAACCGCTGGCCAGCATTGAGTGAAGTCCTCAGTCTGCAGGGACTGGACTCAGGCTGAACTGAGAGGCTCCTTCGAGCCCGCTTTATCAGTCAGGAAATCCTTGGCTGCCAAAGGATTGTCATCTCACTTCCTCACTGCTTTAGCCTCAGCTGGCAAGATTACATCAGGGCTTTGTCACAGCTGTTTCCTCTTCCTGTTGCACCCTTCTCCTTCTGTTCCACATCCCTCCCTAATTATTCATCCTTCAGGTCTGTGTTTAAATGCCTCTCCCAATGAAGCCTTCCTGTAATTCCCAGGTGAGATTCATTTATTAGATCAATCCCATTAGATCAATCGTAAGTTTTATGAAGGGTCCACCTCACATGTTAAGTGCTTTCAGCCTCTCATTTAATCCTCAAGAATCATATGAGGTAGAATACCATTTTACAGATGAGGAAACTGGGGCTTAGAAGGGATGAGTGTGAGAGTCAGGATTCAAGCCCAAGACTGCAGAGCCCATCCTCATAACTATTGCAGCATCCACGTACTGATCAAGCCCAGCCCACGCATGGGTCTAGTGTGGGAGAGCAACAACAAATGTCGTAGGCAAAAATGGATTTCTGCTTTCACTTGAAATCCTGAAATCGAGCAACACGGAGCCTGCATTCCTTGAACAAGAAACAGCTGGAGCTGAGCAGTGGCTGCTCCTTTTAGATGGGACGTCAAGTTCGACACCAAGTCCCCACCTAGCTTGCTTCAGTTTGAAGTACTCCCCTTGGATAGCTATGCACCGTCACCAGCGCCTAGTCCACCCTTCAAAGCAATTTTGGAACTCTTTCTATAACCCCTGCCTGTATGGCAAGCCCTTTCTTTGCCTGCTGGTCTGTTGGCACAAGGAGTATGCCAGGCAGCGGATATAGCTCAAAACTCACTGAGAGGAGGGCAGGTGATTGGTTAGCTCAGTTGGTTAGAGCGTGGTGCTGATAACACCAAGGTTGCTGGTTCGATCCCCGCATGGGCCACTGTGAGCTGTGCCCTCCTTAAAAAAGTTAACTATGCCATTGAAGCATGAAAGCAATGTGTAACCAGTGATCATGGCTGTTCCCCAATAAAATTTATTTTTTAAAATCTCACTGGGACTCTTGCATGTCCACAGTGAAAATATGCCTCACAGTCTGGGAATTAGGATCTCTAGACCCACAGGGCCAAAGGTTGGGGGACTGGACGCACAGATCCCCCAAGGAGCTCACTGGGAGTGACAGTTGGCGGGGCCACTCATGCTTCTACTCTGTGGTTCCCAGGTTCCCGTACCCATGTCGTGGGCACAGCACTGGGAAGCAGTCATTGATTTAAGGTGTGTGCCTCACCTGGAGCTTTCAGGTGTAGCCCCTCACCTTTCAGCTGTGCTTTCCGTGGCTGTCCCATCAGCCTGAGGGCCCAGCAGCTTCTCGACGGGGCAGCAAATAGTGTGTGCACCCCCACACTTCCTTGGCTGTGACTGGGTCCCTTAGTCACAAGCAGTCAACACTCATACCAGGGGGTGACAGGTGCCCACACACAGAGGGGACCTGGGTGGGACACCAGCTGAATGCATTATAGGATCTAACTTAAATGTTTCCATAAAACGTCTCGTCCTCCCCTCCTCTTCTCCCCTTCTCCCTCTTGCCCCCCTGCCCCCCTCCCCTCCTCCACACCTCGGCACACCCACTCAATGGCCCTAGTCTAATCCCCTGCCATCTCTGCCTGCCCAGCACAGGTCCTGCCTGACAGCACTGGCAGCCCCCTCAGCCTTGGAGACCCCATCTCAGAATCGATCTTTCTCTCAACCTTTTTCCTCCTTCAACACACAGTTCAGGTTGGAGACACCCCAGATCCAATCCCAAGCTGGGGGTCAGGAGTCTAGGGCCTGTCCTAGCCTTGCTGTGAGACTTCAGGTAAGTAGCTGCCTCTCTCTGGGCCTCGGGCCCCTTATCTAAGGCTCCTTGACTCTCTTTTAGCTAATCACATCAACCTGTTTTGGCTTCTCAGAACCTTGTTGCTTTAGGAACTTTTGTTTTTAATCAGTTTATGAGTTTGTTGTTGGTTTCCCCCACTGGACTGTGTGCCCTGTGAGGGAGGCAACTGGCCCTCCTTATTATTCACCCTGGTGCCAGCACACAGTAGGGCTTCATCGATATCTCCTGATGGGTGAATGAATGAATGGATGTGTCTCCTGCCTCAGCAAGAAGGGTGTGGGCCTTCTTCCTCCACTCCAGCCACTAAGCGGAGGGGGGTAGAGCAGCACCCCAGCCCCCAACTGAAAGGAAGTAGGGTGGAGTCTGGGGGACCACTCTCCAACTCAGTAGGTGGGCAAGAACTCAGGACTGAATAGTGACCCCTTATGGAGAGATGGAGAAAGCTAGGAGAGGGATGAGCCCTAACACCTGTCTCCCCAACTCCCCCTCTGCCACACGCCTTGTAGGAGGAGAGGGCCTCATATGTGTGTCTGTGTGTTTGTGTGTGCTGTCTGGTTGAGGGCAGCCACTGGCCCAGATCTCTCAGGACAGCAAAGGCTGAGATGGGATTAACTCAGGACTCCTGCGCCCCAGCTGCCTGTGTGTCTGTGCACACACATGGCCATAGTGTGTGCACGCCGTGTGTGCACGTGTGTACGTGTCTGCTCTGCACATGGTCCTCTAGCAGGGCCTCCAGGGGTAGGCTGTGCATTCACACGTCTGTGCATCTGTGTGGATGCATGTGTGCTCACCTGTCTGGCTCTCCCTGTGTCTCGTGTGCAGGCCTGACTGGGTGTGTGTGACACACACATGTGTAGGCATGCAGTGTCAGCTCCACAGGGGCAGGGATTTCTGTCTCACTTGTCCCCTGCTCTAGCCCAGCTCCTGGAACAGGGACCAGCATGCAGTAGGTGATAGTACTTGAATGAATGAGTGAATGATAGTGTGTGCAGGTCTGGTATGCGTCCACGTACCAATGCAGGTGTAGACGTGCACACACTCCTGGGTCTAGGTGCACCTGGGCATGCATGGCGTTGCTCACAAGACACCCATCTTGTGTCTTTTCCAAACTCCTTGGGAGCCAGGGCCCAATGCCTGGGTCTCCGTTTGGCGGAGCAGGGGGCCACCTCCTAGTGGGAAACTGGATCCCAGGACTTGCAGAGCTGCAGTGGGCAGGACCCTCTGCTTTGTCCCTCATAATCCTACCCGCCCTTGCGCTCTCCCAGCATCTAGGATTTAAGGTCGAGTTTGGGGGCTGTAGGGGACTAGGGTGTCACTTCAGCATCCCCTTCCCTATCTGAACCCTGACTCAGATTTCAGCACTCTCCTCCCCCCCACTCCGTGTAACTCCTTCCCTCCCTCTTGGGTGACCCCAGGGCTCAGCCCCAGGTATAAAGCCATCTGAGGGACAGGACAGGTGCTCCAGAATGACCCAGAGACTGCAGAGAGGAAGGAGCCAAGGAGAGAGCATGAGGTGTTGGCTGGGTGAGTGAGGGGGACCAAGCGCCAGGGCCTGGAGGTCAGGAGGGGAGGGGCCGGTGCCGGGGCTCTCTGGCCCAGCTGACTCAGGCACCTGGCTGCCTTTGCATCTGCTGGGAACCTCCAAATGCTTGCACACCGAAGGCTTCACTCACCATTCATTCATTCATTCATGAAATAGTTATTGAGTGCCTATTTTGTGCTAGGTAGGATTCTGAGAATTTGGGAATAGAGCAGTGAAAAGATAAAAGTCTATAGTCTCATGGAGATTTCATTCTGCACACAGACAATACATGGAATAAACAAGTAAATTAGAATGCCAGTGTGACAAGTGAGAACAATGATCCAGGTTTGTTGGATGGATGCATGGATGGATGGATGGATGGACGGACGGATAAATGAATGAACAAACGAACAAATGAATGAAAAGGCCTTCACTTCCAGCATTCCCTTAAGTTCTGAACTTCTGGGAACTCTGTAGAAAGGAGGCCTAGGAGGCCATCCTGGTTTGCCTCTGGCCTCCATTGCTTCCTGCTGGCAACCTCAGGTGGCTCCCCTCCTCTCTGAGCCTCACACTAACGATGGGATATAAACTCGGCCCGGCCTCTGAGAGCACAATTCGGCAGCATTTCCTCAAATTTAAAATAAGCATGTCCCCCAGTCCAGATAGTCCCACTTCCAACAGTGCCCACAGAGGCTGGGAGAAGGATGTTGACAGCGACATTCATTCGTTCAACAAATATTTATGAAGCGGGGCGCTAGGTGCTGGGGAAACAGCAGTGAATGAACCAGGTGAGGTTTCCTCTTTCCTGGAGCCAACATTCGAGGGGGAGAGACAGCAACAAGCACACAGACAAATAAATGAGGAGTCTCAAATAGCAAAAGTCACTGAAGCCTGTCCGTCAGGGGGAGGGCAGGGCTTTGGATATATGGCCGGGACAGCTTATGAGTTGAGGCCTGAAGAACAAGAAGGAGCCAGCCTGGGGGAGATTAGACGGGTGGTCCTGGCAGGGCCCAGGGAGGGCAAAGCTAGAGGGGGAAATGCTATGGAACAGAAAGGAGGCCAGTGCAGGGGCCAGGCCTTCCCGGCCACACTGAGGACCTGAGCTTCACTCTGTGAGGCAGGAGCCATGGAAAGTTTCAGGCAGGGAAGGAGCGTAGTTGGACTCAGGAGTGTGTAGAAGGGAGGCAAGGGTGGAAGCAGAGACCAGTGGGGAGGATGCTCTAATGTCCGGTGGGAGGTGCTGGTGGCTGGGACTCAGGTGGTAGCAGCAGCAGGAGGGGAAAAGTGGTTAGATTCTGGGTGCACGTTTGCGTGTTTTAAAACTTCGTATTGGGCCAGCCGAGTGGCGCGATGGTTAAGAACTGGCATGGGATGCCAGAGGGCCCCGGTTCGGATCCCACATATGAGGACCAGTGACACTGCCCTCCACAGCTAAGATGCTGAACAACAGCTCAACCTGGAGCTTGGCTGCCGTGAGTCACCGGCGACGGCGTAGGCTGCAGTCCCTGTGGCAGTGGGTTGCCATGGGCTACCGTATGTAGCC